TCAAAGTAGTTTTGCTACTAAGAGTGGTGGACTCATCTATCAGAATAGCTATTTTCCTTTTATTTCGAGGATGCATTTGCAAACTCTCGATTCCATTTCTTGTGCAACATGGTCAATTATATTAGTAGCACTAAAATGCAAAAACAAAACTTGTGGAATTTCTGTGCCATTTAATTCTTGCAACTGCAACAGTTCAAAATAGTCAGAATATGGTTTATCATTTTTGACTATATAATATGCAGCTCTAAACATTTTGCAGGTAGCCTCTACTTCAGATTTATTTAAACAATCCACAATAGTTTGAAGTTGTTGTTCCCTTGTACTTTGAAGATTTTTTACAGCATTGTTGTGTGACTGCATCTTTGAATGAAGTAGAATTTCTTTTCTCAAGGATGTTAGTTGTGCTGATCATGTGCTGCAGTTGAAAAAAATTGAAACTGAACTCCATTCTTTGGAAAAACTAGCACCTTGTGATTTAAATGAGCTAGATCACACTAGAACATGCTGCACATCCAATTTTTTCCGGAATCTCTCACAAGCCACAGGTAAACCTTTTTCTTATCTTCTCACATCTCAGCAGTCCACACTTCAGGCCATGCAGACTTGAGTTTGCATTCAGTTGTATGTTGTCCTGTCAGTGTCACACCACTGAAATTTGATGTATCACTAGAAGTAGCTTGAGGAATTTCCTTTACTCATTCAATACCATTCATGCAATCACTTGCACAAGTTGCACTTTCTTCCGTTTATTTTGTTAGTTTTTTTTTTAATGAAAGTTGATTGTAGGGATGTTTGTTTACATTTTTCACTCATTTTTAAGGTCACAATGTATTTATTTATTTTTTTAGATAAAAGAAAGTTTGTGATTAGCAAGAAGGCTAAGTTAGAAATACTGGCTATATCAAATCTCAAAATCATGATAGTAATTTTGATTTAAACCGAAATACTAGCTAAACCAAAATGGGACATATTTATATTACTGGAAACCAAGCATTTACTGGTTACTGTGTAAATATGGTAAAATATGAAACAGGATGTTCATTAGCTCTTACATGCTTTTACACCTTAACTGCTAAATCCCAACCACCCCAGGAGGATAACTAACAATCAAATACCTGTCTGAAGAAACCTCCTTGGTAAACTTATGATCTTGCAAGAAAATTGATGTAGCATTTCTTTATGTTGCCATGTTAGTCTATTAGATCCATAGCATTCTTCCTAAGGTACAGTAAGGGTGTTGTGTTGTAACAAAGCATGATAAATTGACCTGGACTGTATAAATCTCAGCAGAATTTGTGTCATTTTGCTAGGTTTTTGCTTGAGACATTTTTATCTTTATCTGATGTAGTGGATTTCTCAAGATCCCTAGATTACACTACAAATTGGAAAGCATGTCATTTTTGGTTTCATCCCTGGTACATCTACCAAGTTAGAATAGGGATATGTGTAGAGTGTATATTTTGCAGTTAACAACATTAAGTGTGATGTGGGTGGATGATTATGACAAGAATGGGTATTTTTGCTTATTTCCATTTGTGACTAATTTATTTAATTTAAGGTGATTGTGTTTTCTGGATGTAATTTAGTTTCTTTTAGTCTTTTTTAAATTTAATTTTACTGAATGTTGGAATATTTATATGTTGAATAGGGTTTCCCTCTGTTGCCTTACTGGAAAATGTCAAGGTACCATAGGTGTAAACTAAATAGGTGTTTCTGGAAGTTAACTTCAAAATCTGTGCTTTAAATTTTAAGATTCAAGCCTAGACTAATATAAAGAATAAACCTGTAGTTAAGTATAAATGCAGGAACGTTTTTACATTTTCATGCAGTTGTTTTGCATTTGCTTGGTGATGCCCTTGTAACATGATGCACAATGGTTGTATAATTGCTAATCCTATACTTAGATAAAGGTTATGTACCACAATGATAGTTAAATAGAGCTTATACTTATTTGACTTTGTTTCTATGTCATACCCTCCTGGACTGAAGTCATACTTATTCATATGGTAGTACAAAGAACCATACAAGTTAATATGAGCTGAGGGCTATTTCCTTTGAATAAGTTCAGTGGGAATGATCATTGAAGCTAATCTTCTAGTGCTATCCAAACCACAGAGCACCTTTCAGGAATCAAGCGCACACCTGCATATCAATTTCAAACTTTTAAGTAAAAATAATAATTCTAACTATTTTTCAATAATTGTTAATTCATGAGTACTTTAGAAATGATACATTATCATTATGTGAGATTTATTTAGTGTACTTTGCAAATAAAAATGAAAAAAAAAATAATATATATATATATATATTACTTTCAATTCTGCACATCTTGGAGGAGTTTCACATGTAAACAACACATTTATGGATTTTATTTTATAATTTTTCTCCCCATCTCAAAGCTTAAGTTTGTTTTTTGCTTAGAACCTATCATTTTTTGAAAACATAATGATTCATGTTTTCATGTGATTTTCCTTCTCTGTTAGAGTTTCTATTACTACAGATTTTCATTGACGCCCTTTCATGGTGTCACAGCATATGGTCTGATGAAGTACTAATGAAGTTCACTCTTAGCTTTGAAAAAAAAACTAGAGCCAACTCCAAACTATGATTGGATATAGCAGATTACATTATATTTACATTAATGTTGATCAAATAAAGCAAGCAGTAATTTGTGGTTTTTCAAAGTATTGTTACCTAGGGCTGCTGTAGCAGTGAAGAAAAGAATCTTTTATGAAGTTTAGAAGACTTAGGAACAAACCACAGGGCTGGGAATTTTTTATAGCTTCTTTAGCGTTATTTTTGTTTTAAATTATATCTGTTTGAAAGATACAGACATTTTCTTCTATGACAATACATTAGGTAAGTTATCTTAAGTGTACTAAGCATGTATGATAGGCGATGGCAAAATATTTGGGTTATTCTATTCCTTATTTAATGAACGTTATTATAGAGTTTTTGTATTTAGACAATCCACGCAAATAAAACACTCACTATTTATTGAAAATAAACTATATTTATTACATATAAATTGAGCTCTAAAAAGAGTATTGTTAGGAAAATTCACGATACCTAGCCAGATAAAGTACTGGTGACGCCGTTTTGAAAAGTGATTCCAGTCATCCCTAAATCTTTGTCAGTTTTGTCGTGTTTTTCTCATTTATTGTTACTGGAAGTGCTGACTACTGCAATCGACTAAATAGAATATCAAAAGAACTACCATCATGAAAATCTATAAAGTTGATTGCTTGTTTGGTGGTTTTGGAACAAACCCACATTAAGTTATCTGTTCTTGCCACCGCAGGGAATCGAACCCCATATTAAGCGTTGTAAGTTCGTAAACTTTTACCGCTGTTCTACCGGAGGACCGATCAAATTGAAACTGATTACGGATATAAAATAGAACTTGCTGATTAACAATAAACAATTGAAATTCTAAGAATAAAGGAAGTTTTCTAAGCTTTTTCAAAACAGCGTCTCGACAAAATTTTGGAAATTTCACAAAACCAAAATAGTATAAAAATATTAAATAATATTATATGATTTTTTAAAGCATAAACTAGGTAATATTTAGTAATTAATACTTCTGATCGAAGCTAGCCACCTACAGAGACCAGAACTAAAACCAACCTAGTAATGAGTATAGCTAATTAAATAACTGGTTCTTATAAATATTAGAATGTATTGGTTCTTCAGTCGGGAACCCTCGCAGTTAGCGATATTTTTCGTTGTAGCCTTATATTTCATGCAATGTGGTTAGGTACTTCCACTGTAAGATGGAAAAAAATCTTGGAATATCAGTAACACCCTTCCTTCTGAAAAAGCTAGTTTATACAGAGGTTATATAACACAACAATTGTTCAGTAGTGCTTACACTTGATCCTGTTCCTGTGTTATACTCTCCTGGAGCAAGGTCGTACTCATTTCAAAGGGACAGAGACTTTTTACAGGTTAATATGAGCTGGGGTTTGTCTCCTTTGAATTTGTATGATGGGAATGATCATTGACATGAGTAATTTAGGGTTGTTGGACATCGCAATAAGCTTTTGTCTAACTTAGAACTGTGGTATCATCACGATTCCTCTTCTTGTCGCTGTCCTGTCCAGACGTAAAAAATCCTCTCTCTGCTCCAGTAACAAAAGTAATACAATGAATATAGAAGCCAGTCAGTGTTGGTAAAGATACCAGCATAGTCATACTTGCAAATAAAGATTTTGTTTTATTTTTTCATTCGTTTTTGTTTGTTCTTCAGTTGCTGTTGGCATTCGAATTATTATCCGTATAACGTATTGCGAATGCTTATAACATCGATGTACCTGAATACCACGTATTTATTTAATCATGATAAAACGTGTACTCTACACCAGTAGAACGTAGTGTGATCTGTAGCTGTCTTTAAGCCTTGAACAAAAATGATAATAATGACATATTTTAAAAGGTCAAGGCCGAATGAAAATCGACATTATAGTCATGGTTTTGCCTAAAGCCCTTAACAATAAATGTATAACGTTTTTGTGATGAATGTGAAATCGAAGTTTTGTGTAGAAAATATACATAACTTTTCAGTCGCAAATTAGTTCCTAATCCATTTTTTAATAATTATTATTATTTAAAAAGATTCACATGAATGTAAAAGTTGCCAGAACGCGTATTGTTTGACAAGTTATAGTGTGTACAAAAGTATCGGGCATTTCCTTTTACCAAGTAACCATGTCATTGGGCGAACGAGAATACTTATGTGTTTGCCGGAAACAAGATAATTCGTGTGGTGTTTTTGCAATGGATTTTGCATATTATTACACTTAAAATAATCACGATCACTTTTGAAATGGAAACAATTCATCAAACATTTCTTCTGCTTAATCTTTATGTCGTTAAGGTCTAAAAAAAGTATTTTATACCCCTTACCCCCTTACTGACAAAATGGTTTATCCTATTAGCCTCGCTAGGTATTCTCCTACATACTGCCGCATGCTAGCGACGCCACGCTTGGAAGTTGTACCGTAAAATACACGTAGTTAAACTGTCGGTTACGTAGGTTGGGGACTACAGTGTAACCCTTATTTTTTGAAGTTTAACTAGTAGTAGTTTATTTGTGCTATGTTTGCACAAGGTTTAATTTGAAAATTTTGGTGAACCAACATTTGCATGTTAGTGTTGCGGTTGCAGTGTTATCTGGCTCAGATGAAGTTTATGGATACTTCGTCGTAAACGACTTGATCTTTACAAATATTAAAGTTAGAGTTAACGTCAGTCTTATTTTTGGCAAGTTTTGTGCGTTTCGACCTGTTGGATTTTAATAAATCAGTACTACTGATACTGTGGGTAACGACTGCCAATGTAATGAGTAATGTGGCCTAATTGAAACGGGAATGTCTGCCCAGTCTGCTTTCTCTCTGAAAATGAGTTGAATTTTGTAATACTGACATTAACTGAAAGTGACTTTAGACTTATTAAAACGTTGACATTCGTTCTTTTGGGTTGTGAGGGAGAATATTTTCAATAGATAAAATTCATTAATATGATAGCCAAAAGATAAAAAAAGAAAAAACATTAACAATCTTATGTTTTGCAGCTTGAGTCGCATTTTATTCGTTGACCATGTGATGAAAGAAAGTTTGAAAACTATATACTAATATTTGATGGAAAATGATGGAATTCAAGTGACCACTATGGAAAAATGTATACAGTTAACAATAACGTAGAGTATTATTTTTTAAGTAAGAAAATTGCAATAATGTCAGAGCTGACTGAAGCACATGATTGTCTATAAGGTATAATAAATTTTTGAATATATTAGACTAAAGAGAGAATTTGTGGTGATTATAAATTTAGTTTAAAATATAGTTTCTACTTGAACATTTGAAGAAGAGTGCCAATGAAGCCTATGTTCAATCAACCAATGCCAGGAGGTCCACCTGGTGACCCTTTTTATTCTTCGCCATTTTCTTCTTATTTCAGACGCCACACTCCATATTTTGGACAACCAGACTATAGAATATATGAAATGAATAAACGATTACAATTACGAACAGAGGTGAGTGTGTTTAAAATTGTAAATATTCTTATAATTTTTGCAGCTAAGCATGAAACTAATGATAGTATTATTCGTTTGTATATTTGTTGGAGACATTACTGTGATAAAAGAAGAATGTCTGAAGGCAGTAAAAGTATTTTAAAGTATTTATTAGGTTACTTTTGTTGATTTATAAATTTTCTTCTTTTTACATTAGAAAAACTTGAGAGTCGATATTTGCCTTAAAACTTAGCTAAAAAAACCTTTTTCAGGTTTTAAAAGTAATTATCATTGCACTTTCCTGGTGCTTCCCGATTCACATACTGTGCAGTTTTAGATTTCAGGTTTGTGCTTTGAATCAAATTGTGTACTCAGTCTAGAATATTCCAGAAAATAATCATTTTAACGATTATGTTATTCTACACAAAATCAATCATATTGTCTATGTAGACAAATGGGATTCAGTCTAATAACTTCTCATAAATGCTGGTTGTCTGACAGAGTGTGAAGTCATCTCTCAACATTTAAATACATATATCTGTCAGTCTAATAAATCCTCTGAAATTGATCTTTGAACAATTTTACTGAGTGTATGAGAATGTATGACATTCCTTATTGGTGTTGGCAAATATTGTGTATACTTATTAGAGTGTCAGGTTGTTTAAAGCCAGATGACTGGAACTGGCTTGATTGAATTATATTGAATGATGGCTTGAATAGTATTCAAGAGAATTAAATTTTAATAAAAAGATATGACTATATTGTCATTGCAAACTATTCTCAAACTAATATCTTCAAAATGTCACTGAAGATCAAGTAATCAACTTTATCTGTTGTTGTTTTTCTAATGAAGTAAAGTTTGTTTTTTGAAATAATGTGGTTACTTACTAATCGTTTAATTTTAAATTTTTAAGAAATTCACCCTTTAAAATTTAATAATCTGTTCTGATACATATTTTGTATAAGCTTTGATCCCATTGTTTGTATTCTTCTGTTTTATTTTTTTATCACAACATTTGCAAATTTCAGTATTTGTTAAGGGAAAAAATAATTAATCTGAGAAAAGCTAACGTTACTAAATTTTGTATTTCTAAATTAAATGGAACAGGATAGTGACAATTTGTGGTGGGACACATTTGCCACAGAATTTTTTGAAGATGATGCAACACTGACATTGACATTCTGTTTAGAAGATGGGCCGAAACGATACAGTAAGTTTATACATTTTGTGTACTTCATTGTATCTGGGATACTCGTGTCTAATCATACTTTATGTAAAACTGCATGTGGAAAATACATGTCAATTGTATTATAATATGAGCTGATGGGATTCAGCCACAAAACAGTTTAGAGAACACTAATTGTTTAAATGATTTTAGGACAGGGATTCCCAAACTTTGTGTATTGAGGCCCTCCCAAGAACCTAGATAACATGACTGGTGACCCTTACCTAATGATTTAATAGAAAATTTAAATAACCACACTGTGGTATCTTACTTTTATTGCAATTTCATTTTTAAAAATTAAAAATTATTATTATTATTCACATTATTGTGAAGTCATATTTTGTGCAGTGAGAAAAGTTAATGCTGAAAATGTTTTGTCTAGTATCAAAGTTTTAAAGAGAATATTTGAAATGAGCTGAAGCCCCCTGAAATCATTTCACGGGCCCCAGTTTGGGAAACATTGATTCATGATATAACTACATGAATAAAACATGAATTGATTATGCCCTCAAGCTCAGGTCATTTATTATGTATAATTATTAGTTTCACTAACACTACAACAATTTTAAAGTTCACTTTTGGTTGTGATGGGGAAATTATGCATTTCATCTTTAAAATGTTTGTCTTTATTGTTGTTATTTTCAAAGGGATTTGATTGTTCCTTGAGTTTTTTTCTATTTGAGGGCATTGGTAAGCTTAGATGTATTAAAGAGAGTGGATTCAACCATTATGCACGTGCACTATCAATGGAAATCTAAAATTCATCAGTAGTTATAATTGTACATATTTTATCGTGTAAGCTTTGCTAGAATTATTAACATGTAAATGATAAAGACAAATACAAAAAGTGCTTAGATTATAAGGTTTTTTAGATTTTTTTAAACTGTGTCCTCCTGACATAGTGAATGGGAGTGATGTTGATTTTTTGTTTTATTGTAGCTGTTAAACTTGTAGTGTATACTGGTTTCAGTAAACATTTGATTCTTGTGTGCGTATTCAGAGTATTAGTTTTACTATTAAAAAATACTTATTGTATTTGTCTAAGTAAATTGAGGTGTTTAAGTTTGAGGTTGTACAACCCAGTTAATGGCATAGATAATTTATTCTTTTGATTCATGTTAGTTATGAATATCTTTTAGTGAATGTTTATTCAATGGTGTCAAACTCATAATTACATGATGCATGTTGATATTGAGAATTTAACACATATTTGAAAAACATCTAGCTACCTCGTTATCTTAACTAGCTGTGATTGTTGGTGACAACCATTCTAAGTTTTATACACGAGAAGAAAACAAATGCACACCTAGTAACCTGTGTGCTTTCAAGAGGTGGACCTTTCTTCGTTGAGGGTAAACTGGGAATCACTAAGTAAAGCTAAGTATGAGAAAAAGCTGGAGTGACCTCATGGCAGACCACCATGACAACCTAGAAGTGTTTTGGTTAGCTTTCAATTGATTGTTGCAAGTGTGTCTCATTTCTGTTGTGTAATATGACAGGAAACTAGAATGTTAGATATAAAAGAGGTTAGAGAGGTTTTGTTTTACTTGACAAGGAAATGGCTAAGTTGGTTTGTCACAGTGTGATATAGGAACTAAGTACAAAAAGAAAAAAAGACAAATTATTAGTTTAAATAAATTTATTTTAAAGAGATACAGTGAATGTAAGAATAAACCTGAAAAGATTGTGTACTTGGAAGTGCAACACAGGAAGTTTTCCTAATACTGGATTGTCCAGTTGGTGGCTCACTGGCCAGACTGCAAGGCAGTGATAAACAACCTGCCAGAGACCAGGCAAAAATTAAGAATAAATAAATAAAAGAGTTGAGCTATAAACAGAGTTTATTTTTCTATTATATGTGTCTAAAGCTTAGTTTTTAATGTTTCTTACTGTTATTACTCTGGTCTACCAATAAACTGAAATAAAGCCACTAGTGTGTAATTCCTGAGACTGCACTCAAAATAATATGCGACTTGACATTAGTACAAAGTTGAACAACCATGATCTAAAGCAATCTGACAAAACATAAAATCTGAGGTAGGATATTCTTGAGTAAAGTCTACTAAAAGTTTTTTTTTTCAGCAATAGGTCGTACCTTAATTCCTCGGTACTTCCGGAGCATATTTGAAGGAGGAGTAACAGATTTATATTATAACCTGAAGCATCCTAAGGAATCCTTCCATAATACAACTATTACCCTTGACTGTGATCAGTGCTCCATGGTCACTCATCACGGGAAACCCATGTACAATAAAGTAAGTCTTGGTTCATTCTTCATGGGAAATCCCATGCACAACCCCAGTGACTCAGCAGTAAGTCTGAGGGCTCACACTGGTCAAAACCAGGTTTTAATACTCATGGTGGCACAG